AGCCAACGAAAGGATAATGGTGCTAAAAAGCGCTAACAAGCACTCATCAAATCCACCCACCTTTCGGTGGTACCCAATTTCTGAAGTTCCACAACAAAGTGAAGAAACTTATGAAGACTTCACTTTGGTTCACTCTCAGTCACCTACTTACTCTAACATGCCCACCCTCTCTTTAGAGGAACTGGACGAATATGCGAACAAGACAAGTTTGTCTGATGTGACTGATGAGCTGACTCGTCTGGAGGTTCACGTGCCTTATCAATTTATCTGAATATTGTTTGTTTTATTTTTATGGCTTGGAGTATCTCTGCACAATTCCTTTCAATGAATTTATCTACTTTTATTACTGTTACTAATTGCTCTTTTGATCTTGAATCTTTAATATCAGACTATTTCTCTCTCGGGTCAAAGACGGAATTATGTCATAAAGTATTATCTCTTAAATGACAATAAATGCATAAATCTAATGCTAATTGGCTCTATAGGAACCATAGACTCTCCTAATGGTTAACCTCTGGATAAAACATTAATCCTTATCTCAAACTGCTATAAAAGGAGGACATTGGTCTTGCTCAAATGCATCCTAACATCTTCCTCTTCAGAAATGGCTCCTAAAGTTTCAATCACCAAGAAAGTCTCAAGAAGAACCCGAGCTCACCTGGAAGAGGGTGAACAAGGCAATCATAATCCCGGCAATAATCTTATTAATCCTCTAAATATTTTATCCGACTCAGAAATTGAGGATTTTGATGAATTCATCAAAAGAGATGCTGATGAAGACGCCAGATCTTTTGATCCCAATGAGGAACCCCCTCTAATTGTTAGAAAGGGCTTCTTGACACTGGAAGCCTGGAACGATCTCACCATGGACAGAGATCTTAGGGACTTCTATCGAAGATATGATTGCAAAACTGAACTTGTGGGGTACATTGAAGGACAATCTGATGAGGAAATGCATTCTGACGTTGGACCATCTCGTCCAAAAATCCCTACATCAATGAAAGTTCCTAAGGTCACCAAGGGCGAAACCAGTAAACCCAGGAAAGGAAAGGGAAATAAGTGATAGTTTCGTTGATCTTATGTTCAAATTATCGTCCTTAATTTCTGTATTTCTGTTCTTTTGTGTCTCGTGCTCGTATTAATGAAGATTTTCTGGTATAAATCTCTGACCGTCTGATACTTGCATACATTGGAATCATCTCACTGACCCTGAAATTATGATATTCTTGAAAATATCCATTCAAAGTCTTCTACGACATTAATGGTCAGTTGAAGAAATACATGGTCATTAATTACAGCATTGAATGCTGTGGGTAGTTTCACATCGATATCTCTTCTCGATCTACCTATAAAAAGGGGACATATCTCACTCTTCTCTACCATTATCATCTTCACAAATGGCTCCTAAAAAGCCCTTTACTAGGGGAGATTCTCGCAAGAAAAGAGAACTCGCCAAGAAAATAAGAGAAGAACAAGGAGACATGTATCCAGGCAATAGCCTCCAAGCACCCTTAGAGATCTCATCTGATACTGAAACATCATCTCAGTATGATGAAATGGCTGGCTACATAGTCGAGGAACCCGAGGAAGCCTATCCAGAAGAGGAAGTTCCTCAACAAGAAATGAGTCTTGCTGACGCGCCTAATGATTATCATGACGAAGACTATGTAAGCTATCTCAATGAAGAGATCAAATCTGAGAGCAAAGAAGAACCCACTTCGTCCACGGACTCTAACGTTCTGCGTACCGGGAAATGGTACAAACGAATGTGGGCAGAACTTAAGAAGCCGAAAGCTGAGACTCATGAGGAGAAGGAGAACGAGAGGAAGAAAAACTAATCTTGTGGATTATGTATCTTATTTTCTGTATCTGTCTCTCTCATTTTGTTGAATAATAAAATTCTGGTTTCAAGTTTCGAGTTTAATCTTAATCAAGTGATGAACGAAACTTTATTTGTTTCTGTTCACACCTACCATGGAATATCTATGACCAGAGCTCTCTTTATTGGAAATATATATATTCCTTCACGCGTGCTTCTTATGTTCATGGCTAGTCATTCGGTCACACCTTTTGATAAAATATTACATTCTTTATAAGAGACTCTCTCGGGAAATATTGGTTTCACTCTTCTTCAACAGATATCACCATGGACAAGGGAAAAGCAATGGCTCTCACAACCGAAAGTCTGTCTAGAAAAACTAAATCCAAGAATGCTTCTCGCCATGAATCAGAGAATTCAATGCTGGAGGGTTCATCTTCAGCTGATGGATCCACCAAGGTTTCAAGCCTATCTGAGTTTCTCACGCTTGTAAAGCTTGCACCTCACCTCAAAAATGATGACAAGTACATGGCTACTTATGCTGTTGCTGAGGTTCGTGTAAAGGCCGAACTCGATGAAATGGAAAGATGAGGTCTTTCAAGAGATGCTATGGGCACCGATCATGAAACAATTGTGGGAGAAGTTTTCGCTTTTGAGGTTCGCAAGAAGGAATATCTTGATTATGCCCAACAGAAGAAGAACGCCAAGAAGTTAACAACGAGAGATGTAGTGACAGTGCTCAAAATCTTTGTTTCGTGTAATAAGACATCTCTCGGGTTATCTCATCAAGTTTCGTTGTATGTTGTGTTCATTAGACTTTATTTGTCTAATGAACCTTTCGTCCAGTAAAAGTTCAACTTGTTTCGGTTTTCAGTCGTACTTAAGAAGCTTAAAAATATATGAATCATCTGAACCGTTTACACGTTTCATCATGGGGATCGTGTGGCCAAGGAAAATGGTCCACTACCCCACGATGACTGACAGATGAATTGATGTGCATTTAATGCCCGTACAGGCACTTGAGTGGAATTATCTCTCCACATTTAATATGGAATGATCAAAACTGATCTGAGCATGATCTTATCACTCTCTTATAATCAGATAAGTTACCTTTTGAAGAAGTGGAACCGGTTGAAAATTTGAAATTCAAACCATCCACCCCAAAAATGGGTTACCCGTATTTAAATACCCGGAAACAAGTGAAACCCTACATAAACCCTCTCCCCTCCATACTTCACCTCTTTCATTCATCCTCCGTCTCAAAACCATATCGCCATACTTGTATTCTTTCAACACTTCAAAATGGCGAAGAAATCTCAAGTTACCCCTTCTGATACAGAACCAGAAACCCCAACCACCTTGGAAATTCCTTCTTTCCCTACGGAAGATATACGATTTATCGAATCCAGGGCTCCGCTTATCGTCGGAGGAAGCATGTGGGATGCTCATGGGTTCCTCGAATATGTTCTTGATCGCGAATTTGGAGAAAACATCATCAATATGCTTACAGAAACTGGGCTATACAGGTTTATTATTCATCTCTATACTTTATGGTACCCTACTGATGTTGCTCAATTTTATATGAATGCAACTGTCTCCTCCGACTCTCTAACCATCACGTCTAGAGTTCACAATCATCAAGTGATTATAACATCAGAGGACATACGAGCTGCATATGATTTTCCTCAGAGGGATGAGACATACAAGCCCAACCTCTCCTTCTACCACTATGACCCCAGTGAGTTTTACGATACCATCAAGAACAACCATGCACCCTTGAAAACGGAGATTACATGGTCTTTGAAGAAGAAGTGGTTTCGTCTGAACTATGAATTCACTGTGGACATCTTCAATAAGATCGTAGATCACAAAACGTCTGGAACAGATGATGTCACAAAGGAGAAGCTCAAAATGCTGCATGCATTCCTCCACGAACACAAAGTCGATTGGTCGAAAGTTATCTTCAACAACCTTGTTCATACTGTCACCTTCAACAGAAAAAGTCCTGGTGACATCACAAAGAAACTGGGCTATGGATTCTTGGTTAGTCATCTACTTATCACAAAGGATATCCTTATGAGACCGGAAATTCGTCCAGGACCAAAAGCCTGCCACATGAAGCAGAAGCCCTCCGGGTTATGACAAACAGAAAGCCTTGGAGCTGGGAATTCCTTTGGAAATGGTAAAATCCAAACGAAAATCAAGAACGCCGAAAGATTCAGAAGATGACCAACCAAAGCCAAAAAGGCAAAAGAAGGAAAAGCGCTCTTCTCGGGTTAAGTCGAAAAAGGAAGTTGTCAGTACACCCACTCCCACATCTCCAAAATCTCCCACAGAAAAGAAAACTCCTACCTCACCTATTCCTCCTCCAGACACAGTTGTTGTCGAAGACTCATCTGATGAAGACAATTTGGCTCTGTCGAACCTCGGAAAAATAGGACGTTTTCGTTCTCCTATCAAAACGAAATTTGGCTCAACTCTCTCCCCGAAGGAAGACGCCACACCGAGAGAAGCATTCTCTCAGAGGGAAGAAGATACGAGAGAAGCACCTTCTCAGGGGGAAGGTCAGCTGAAAGAAACTTCCCCAGAAAAACCTTCTGAACAACAAGTGCCAAACCTTGGCAACAGTTCTCCTCAAGTCCTTCATCCACAAGAACCCATTTCAGCAGAGCGAAATATTCAAAGTTCGACACAAGAACCTGCTGTCATGGAAAAGGAGGTCGCTCACTTAAGTCTCCCACAAGAACCTGGCTTGCCAGCAGAGACGAGAGAAGTGATTGTACACACGAATGTTGCTGATGACCCTCATACCGAAAGCATCCTCCCACAAGAACCTACCTTTGTAGAGCAGGTACCAAATACTCTGACACAAGAACCTGCACTGGTAGCTGAGGAAAATCGAGAGATCCCAAATGTGATCACTGATCCAGAAGTGGTGATCACACCACCAGTTGTTGCACCCATTCCTCCATCTCCAGATCAATTACTTCGTGAGTCTATTGAAAATGACTACACCCGAGTGTTGCAGTGGCAAAAATGGCGCACAGCCCTCTTGGACACGTTCATAGAAACTTTTGAAGCCATGAAAGATGAAGAAAAGTTTGCTCTAGAGTGAATTGGCACAAAGGATGTCAGTGAAGCACTGCGTCTTGAAATGATAAGACGAGTGTTTTCTTACAAAATGACCAATCGCACTCTCGGAAAGGATAAAGCTCCGATTTGCATTGAGCTCAACAAACTTCCATTGGACCCAGCGTTTGTAGAAGAAATGAAGATGGTTCGATATGCCATATTGATATTTAAAGTCAAAACCATCCTGGAAAAAGAATATCAAAATGATCCTAACTGCAACGTTAGTGGCTTGAAAGATGAGCAAGGCCGAGAGATTGACATGGCCGAAGAAGAAGATGAAAAGAGTAATGAAGAAGATGAAGGCGAAACTGACGATGTCGAGGATGCAGATGATGAGAACGATGATGATGATGATGATGACAATGATAATTCGGGTAATGACAGCGATAATGGGGCTGACCCAACCTATGACAGTGAATCTCCTCTCTTGGTCGGTCCTGATTACGACACTGTTCCCGAAAGATTTCCAACTCAAAAATCACCCTCCAACAGTGATGACACAAGGGAAGCTTCACAACAAGATGAAGACGTTTCAACTGATCATCCTGAGGATCTGTCTCGAGCTCTCGTCCCACATGTTCAACCCATGGACGAGACTCCGATAAAACGAGAGGAAGCAGTTGTACGTGGGGGCATACTGGAAGCCTCACCAATCCTTCTTAGCTCAGCTAGTGGTGGCAAAAAGGATGCACCACTTCAAGAAAACCAGGTGAATACCCCACAAACCAATATTGAAGATGAATCTCCTCCAGTGTCCCCACGAAATGTCATGAACCTCATGAGGGATACAGTTCATGCTGCCGAAATTACACATCAGCAATACTTGACTCTTCGGCAAAGGGACACCGAAGTTCTGGAAAACTTATCCAAGAAGGTGGATCAGTTGATGGCTGCCCAAAATCCATCAGTCTCGTCCGCCACCACAAGAGCCATCTCAACCTCCACCGCAAGCTAAACCTGACCAACAATTCAACAAGCAATTGGCTAAGGAACTCCATGAACTTCATACCGCTGTCAACAAAGTGGCTCGTCAACAGCACAAACTTAAGCACTCCCACTACAGCCTCAAAGAGCGTGTTAACTTAGCTTGCTCAAAGATAGAGACTTCACAAGACAATACATACCAACTGGGACAGTATGCTCTTCAAATTCTCGGGTATGCTCAAAACATTCTGAATGCAGTTAATAAACTTTCCACCGTTCCTCCTACCACGTGTGCCGATGATGCCAAAAAGGGGGAAAAGCGAAATCATGATGATAAGGATGACGATCATCCGAGGGAGAACACGAGAGAACGCTCTCCATCTCATACACCAAGAGACTATGGGCAAAGAAGTACAAAACCATCATATCCTCCATCCAAGTCTCGTGGCCATCATCCTTCCCAGTCAAGACATTATTCAAATCGTGGTCATTCTCAACCCAGATCACAGTCTTTCAAGCCTCGTCAATCCTATGGTTCTGAATCAAAATTTGTATTCACTGGGCTCTCCAAGAGAGAAAAGACGAACCGAAGGCAGAAACTCATGAAGAACAACAAGGTAACTATGGATGGCGTAGGAAACTTTGTGGAGTTCAGACCTTATGAAGAAGGCAGTGGAAAACGTTTTGAGGGTTGCAATGTCCCTGTCTGGCTGAAGATAAAGGACAATCACACTAGACAACATCACATAAGCACCCAAAACGAAAGAATCAAGAGACAAAGCAGAGAACTATGGAGAAACACGAAGAAGAAGCCCGAAAGAGAGAGCATGAACTGGAGGAAAGAGAAAGAGTAAAGAAGCTTATTGAAGATCTCACGAAAGTAACCAAACACTCTGAGCATGGTGTCATCTACAATGCAGCTTTCAAAGTGCATGCCGAGTCTGGAAAAATCTACAGAGAAGGAATGAATTCCTTCGAACTCATCTCATGGTGGAAAGCTGGAGTAATTGCAGGAGCAAACATTCGCGAGGCTTACAACAATTACATAAGTCTCAACACTCGAGGAAAATACGAAGATCTAGTCAGGACAAATCCAATCAAGATCTTCAGAGAACGAATCAACAAGGAGATCGACACCGATAGAATGCTCAAACAGCAAGAGGAAAGGGAAATTCGTGAACGAGAAGAAGCTAAGCTATAGAAGTCGAATCTTCTAGATTTGTAAGATGCTCTTCATTATGTCTTTCTTAAAAAGTTTTTGTAATGATCTTTATCCTTATATAAAGTACTTGTTGTTATACATCTCGTGTCACTTGTCTGAGTCACTTGTCTTTGTCTTACTTATTATTTGCATTTATCTAGAAAAGACTTGTAAACTCTCGAGTATGGCTGACTTGTAATAGAAAATCCGTTATGGAACTTTTTATCAGCCTTATAAGAAGAGTATAGGTTTTGGCATCATCAAAAATGGGGAAATTGTTAGGAACACTTGTATTAGGATTTTGATGATACCAATGTAACCTAGAAAGTAGACCCCTAACCGTTATTACTTTCAATCGCTGCTTTCGTCCTAGACGGAAGTTGCCATAACTTACATGTAATTGGTGTTAAGCTAGTCAAACACACGAAGACGAGTTATGCTTAATTGTTAGGGTTATCAAGACGAAAGAAGACACGAAGCATGAAGCAACTGCAACGAGAGTTTACCAGGAGTTGTCATTTAGCACGAAAGGACAGTCTTATTGATGACAATCCTTCAAGAGATTCCTTCTCATCAATAGCAAGAAGAATGTCTCCACTGTCTGACTTGACAACATCCTAGGAACAAAAGGACCTCAACTTGTGGGACACGCATACCAAGGAGCATTAAATGAAGATGTACTATTTCCTGAAGCTAAAGGACAAAACCCTAAGGCTCTCCATGACATCAACGGCTGCAAGGTACAACCTCATTAATGGAGCATTTAATGCGGGAAGCTCCCCGGTCCTTACCCATTGGACAATAGGTTTAAAAATTCATCTCCCTCCAACGGATGAATTTTTCCTCACCTATATAAACCCACCTTCACCAACTAAGAAGGTGCTGGTTCTTATCACTCGATCTATCTATAAGCAAAAGCTCTTAAACGCTCTCAGCTCTCTCAAGCTTTTGTGAACCAGTGCTAAGGTGCAAAGATACTTGAAGAAGTTCATTGATACTCATCTTACACCTTAAAGAAGTCTTGCAACTTGTACGAAGCAATTATTTCTCATCATTCAAGACTTCATCACGTTGGAGAAATCAGAAATCATTTTCTACCAACCTCAACTCTGAAGAAGACGTTGATAGAGGCGGAGTAAAGTCGCGGAGTTGATCGAAAAACCTACGAATGCTGTCCGGCTTAGTGATCAAGGAAGTCTTTGTGTAATTGTACTAACGAGTGATAGTGCAATCCTTCCATAAGTTGTGGACGAAGAGTGGAGTAGGCAAAGTTGGCCGAACCACTATAAAAACTCTCGTCTCCCTATCTCTTTACTTACTCCATTTATTTCCTGCATCATATCATCTCTCACGAAAGTTTCCTCAATAACGACAACCCGTGCAAAGCAAGTAAACGAACTTAACATTTTCGCTGCGCCAAAACACCGAAAGGTTGTTTTTCGGCAAAACACGACAAGAGTCTATTCAACCCCCCCCCCCCCCTCTAGACTCTCGCTACAACTCCACTGGGACCAACAAATTCATTTATATAGAAGTTTTATAGGAATTGACATGTGTTGAAATATAAAAGTGTGGTGTATTAACAGGGCGTTTGGTCAGAGAGAATTCCACTTAATTCCCACCTAATTTCAAATGTCATTAAATTCCCTAGTTTAGTTGGAAGGAATTGCAATTCCCTCATTTTCATGGAATTAAAATTTCATGTCCCCGTTGGGATTTTAATTACATGAATTTTAGGAAGAAAAAAAGATAATAATGAGACAAAATTATCCCTCCTATTTTTAACCTAAAATTAATGCCTGACAACTACAATGAGCATTTTGGACTTTATACTACTTATTCCCTTTCAATTCCATGCATACCAAACAGTAGAATTGAAATTCCCGGTAGTTTTATTCCTATAAACCAAACAATGGAATTTAAATTCCTACTTTATTCTCAGTAATTCATTTCTCATGGAATTGCAATTTCTTTCCCACGTAATTTCACTGCTGGAAATTATGAAATTTCCGACCACCTGAAAGTGATCTTAAATCACTTCGAAAGCAAAAAGTGATCGGAAATAGCAACAAAGATTTTTCCGGATACCAAAAGTGGTCAGAACAAGACTTTCGACTTGATTTAAGATCACTTTCAGGTGGTCGGAAATTCTATAATTTCGAGCAGTGTATTCCCTCCCTCCAACCAAACGCCCTAAATAAATAAAATATACAATGTAATTTAATTATATTACTACCATTTTAAAAATAAAATATACCTACAAAAATTTTTCATTAATACATAAATTCATTGATATAGAAGTTTTTATAGGAAATGACAGGTGTTGAAATATAAAACTGTGGTGTATTAAAACCATGACATGTGAACGGTTGCATGCATTCACTTGGAAGATACTGTATCATTATTCATTATTGCCTGATTGTCTCCTTCGCTATATCTTGTTAGAGAATGATCAAACATGTGAATTGAAAACGACGTCAAAGATGGAAAAGAAAAGAAGAATTAGGTAATAGAATTGCAAAAAAAAAAAAAAAAAGTAATAAGTGAGCATTGGAATTTAAAAAATTTATAATTAGACTTTTATTTACTAGTAATCCATTTAACTTTGATTATTCAGCAAAATTTGCTCCAAAATACTAAAACTTCAAAAAGTTGTTTAAAGAATTTTTTTGATCAGCTTTTTGAGAAAATCATTTTACATGTAATAAATTATCAACGAATAACTAATTTATCAAATATCTTTTTACAATCATCTAATTAATGCTATCAACTAGTCAAACTCACTAACCTAATCAGCTAAAAACAATCAGCTAACAACAATTTACCAAACATCTCAAAATCTAAACAACAATGGCTATGTTTGGCAAACGTAGCTGAAAGCTAAAAAAGGAGCTGAAAGCTGAAAAACTATAAGCTAGGAGCTGAAAACTGAAGCACTGTTAAGTTAGCTATTATGCTTGAAAGTGTTTGATATAATTAGCTTTTTAATAAGCTGATAAATATAAAAGGACAATAAAGGACATTTTTATAAAATTTAAATTCATTTGTTTACATATTAAAATTTAATATTTTGTCTTAAAAAAAATTAACATTTCGAAATAAAAGTAATAGAATAATCATGATCTGACATCGCATAATGAAGTAGCAATATTGTTGCGAATCTCCTTCATCTAATAATAATAATAATAATAATAATAATAATAATAATAATAATAATAATATTTACAGTGAAAGTTGTGGATAAAAGAGAAGAGAAAATGAATTTAATTCGAAAGAATAAAAGATGTCATTTCTTTAAAATATGAAGGACAAAGAAAAAATAAATTAGGAAGCTCCTAGCTTATTTTGAAACACTCTACCTAAGTAGCATTCCAAAATAAGTTCTTATTTTAAACTCTAAGCATATTTTAGGAACATTACCAAATAGAGCTTATAGTTTATTAGTAGCTTAAAATAAGCTCATAAATAAGCTCTGTTAAACAAACTCAATGTGACAAGTTCAATTCGAATCTTAGTTTTTTTTTTTTTTTTTTTTTGTTTGTTTGAGCTGTCAGCTATGGGTAGCTTAAATCGATTTACCTCTTTATGACTACGAGTTAAGCTAATTTACCTCTTTGTGATTCTGTATATACTATGATCACAAAGTAGAATTTATCAGAACATACACTCACATAATGAAGCATACACTCACATAATGACTTTGAGTTTCCTTCTTCACCCAAAAAATATAACACAAAAAAGTAAAAGGAGTTGATATTATTAGTTCACCAAACACTGTTGCATGCATGGGATACAAGCTAGCATAGGCTTCCCGGGTACAGACGCCATTATTTATATGTTAATAATAATAATATATTCCATGCATGATTCTTGGTGGTCATCAGCTCAAAGCAGCAGCCTACTTTGCTTTAAGGAACCTAAAAGGATATGGATTTTTATCATTGATTCCCAACTGACGACCCTGTTCGTCGACGGTGCCAATACGCCAGTATTTGCTGCTGCAGTGAGGGCAAAGGGTTGGCCAGAAGGTGAAAACATACCCATTATTATTATAGTCATCACTATGCTTCTCGATCCTAAACCAGTTGGAAACATCATCTTGGTCACCTATTTTGCCGCCGGTCCCTATCACCGGCTTCCCCGACCGCTCGACGAGCTTCCACACCGTTTCATTAGCACAGGGATCCGACTCTTCAAGGTAAATCGCCGCGTTCAGTGGGAGGCTTTCCTTGACTTCTTGGAGTCCTAGGGGGTAGAAAACTATGGGAAGGGGTTCGGCGAAAGTGCTGGTGGGGAGGAAGAACATGCTCGTGTTAAGAACTACGGTGTTTGGGCAAGTGGGTTGGCCGGTTCCTTGGATTGGGTAACTGTCCACGCTTATGCCGCCTGCGACGCCGTTGAAGGCCGGAACGGCGTAGTATTTGTTGCCATAAATGAGAGGGTGGCCGTCACGGTCTAGCACGGGCTGGTTTCCGGGGTAGTCTTCCTGGGTGGGGAGGCGGATGTGCGGACGAAAAGAAGAGATGGAGAGCGGAAGGAAAGAAACGGAGAGGATGCAGAGAATGATTAGGGTTTTCATTTTGAGGATGGTCTGATGTGGTGCATAACAAGTGTCGCGGGAGCACAAATTTATACATAGAGCAGTGCATGGAATACTTAACACGTAAGTTGTCAATCAAAAAAATTTGTCCGATCCGGTGCATAAGAAGTGTCACGGGAGCACAAATTTATACACAGAGGAGTGCATGGAATACTAGTTTTTTACGGTGATAATGCCCAATGTTTTTTTTAATAAGTAATTTAAAGTATATCAAGGCAAGATTATATTGAAATTGTTCATGCATAGATAATTGAATGTTAAATTTGTGTATTTAAATAGGCTTTTCTAAGTTTACAAATGAGTAAAAGACATTTTTGGTCCTAGACTTATAGTGGCTTGGACAATTTTAGTCCTTTATAAAAAAATTTGCCATTTTATGGACAGAGTTATTGTGGCGAGGACATTTTTGGTCCTCCGTCTATATTTCTGTTCGATAACCGTATGAGAGAGGGGAAATTACGTCAATTTAGGCTATCTCCTTCTATCTATTATATCTATTTGTGTTTGGCGGCTTCGATTCTCCTTCTATCTATTTGATTAGTAACCTGTTTGGCGGCTTCGATTCTCCGACAATTTCTTCGTATAACTGCAACTTGGACTCTCCGACTCCTTCGAATTATGACCGAGAAGAAAACAAATCACACATAGATATAATAGATAGAATGAGATAGCCTAAATTGACGTAATTACCCCTCTCTCAGACGGTTATCTAACAGAAATATAGACGGAGGACCAAAAATGTCCTCGCCACAATAACTCTGTCCATAAAATGGCAAATTATTTTATAAAGGACTAAAATTGTCCAAGCCACTATAAATTTAGGACCAAAAATATCTTTTACTCTTTACAAATGTAAGATAATATAGTCAAGATTTATGATAATTGTCAATAAAATAATTGTATAGGTATGGTTGAAACCGAATACGGGACATAAGGGAGAGCAAATACAAATTAGGGCATAAAATATTAAATATATACTAATATTGAAGAGCTAACTGCTGATTGCCAAACAAGGACATTGCGAGATAGTTTCCCACTTTAATTTGCTGTGTGATTTGAATACTCTTTTTGTCAAAAAATCACCAAAGTAGTTAATATGATTGGCTTAATTATATATATATATATATATATATATATATATATATATATATATATATATATATATATATATATATATATATTTAAACAATTATTATTATTATTATTATTAAATATATGTATACCCTTAGGTGTCATTTTAAAAGTTAATCTAAAGAGCTAATTTTTTCAAATATCTTTTTACCAACCATTGATATAATTTGCTGGTCAAATTTACTAATATAATCCGCTAACCGCTAACTGCTGATTGTCAAACAAGAACATTGCGAAGTAATTCTCAATTCAATTTGTTGTGTAATTTGAATACTCTTTGTCAACAAATACCTCAAGTAGTTAATATGATTGGCTTTATTATATATATATATATATATATATATATATATATATATATATATATATATATATATTAATTTTTTTCATGATATTAATAAAATTCGTGGTAAATAAATATATAGCATTATTTTGTATTATAACTCTGATATTTAATTAAAAAATAGTGCACAAAAAAGATAATAGACAATAATGTAGTGAATATAATTAATTGATGAATTTAAATGTAAAGAATTTTTACATTAGGAGAAATGTAAAGACAATATAAATAATAAAATTATTTCTCATAAAAACCTCTCTACCTAGGGTTTCTCTAGGTCTTCTGGTCGATACATCGACAATTTTTCTGCGGGTTTATCCGAGTAACAAACAGTGCTTGGCGAACGGCCTGCATGCGGGATGGCGGAATCGGCTGTGGAACCGGAGGTTCCGGGCGTAACGGCCAGGTGGGCAGATATCGTTTTGGAGGAGGAGGCGTCGGCTTTCATGCCGGACGAGGGGACGGAGGGCGAGGTGGCAAGCGGCGATGTGGAGGAGAGTTGGGGGGTTGTGGGGAGATTCTTGACACGGAAGCTAGTCAGGTTGGAATTCATGAGTCAGGTCTTGGCATCGGTATGGCAACCGGTGAGTGGAGTTGAGGCTACGGAGATAGAACCTGGCCAATTCCTGTTTGTTTTCCATCATGTAACGGACATGGAACGTGTTCTGAATGAGGGGCCCTGGTCCTTTGACAATAGCACACTGGTGTGTAAGCAAGTCCCTGACGGAGTCATGACGGTTGATGTAGTGTTGGATACGGTGGATCTATGGGTCCAATTGTACGGATTGCTGAACGGATACTCGTCCAGTCAGATCTTGGAACAGATTGGAAATTTCTTGGGCAAGTTTGTTAAGAGTGATGATCGTTTCGACAATGTCCCATGGAAGGTGTTTCACCGTATTAGGGTTTCGTTGTCTGTTGATAAGCCCTTGAAAAGACGGATGAATTTTATTAAACGGGACAAGACAAGTTGCTGGGTCACGTTCAAGTATGAACGTCTACATACATATTGTTATTTTTGCAGGATGCTTAGACACTCGTATCAATTTTGCCGTGGGGCCAGGGATTGCGGGTAGGGGGGAGTCGTGGCCCTAGGCCGGTGGGCGGGAGTTGGCTACTGCCATCGGGACGACATGCGGCGGGGCGGAAATCGCAGGCTGACCACGTGGCCGTGGGGCGGTCTCCGAGGTTGAGAATCGGGCCGATGAGGCCGTAGAGGCGGAAGTGGTCGCGGTTGCCAAGCGGCGCCGGGAGGAGGTGAGTAATGGGGGGCGGACGTATGAAGGAGGGGATGTTGTTATGGCCGAGCTTTCAAAAAACTTGCAGCAGGCAGGTTCTGGTTCCCAGACCCGCCCGGATCAATGAGTACCCTCAGCTGGAACTGCCGTGGCTTGGATAATCTACGGACAGTTCGTGAGATTGTGGACATGGTGTCCTGTAAGCAACCCGACTTTGTATTTCTGATGGAGACTAAGGTGGCACGCGATCACGCAGAGCGATTTCGTGTCAAAATCGGTTATGAGGGGCTATTCTATGTTGATAGTGATGGATTAAGTGGTGGTATAGCGTTATTGTGGAAAAAGAATAGTACGGCTCGGCTGCTCAGTTACTCAACGAACTATGTTGATGTTGAGGTAACTATTACTGGCTTTCCGGAATGGTGAATGACGAGTTATTATGGTTTCCCTGAACGAACAAGGCACGCTGAATCATGGGATCTCTTGAGAACATTATCGGGCAGGTCGAACCTCCCATGGGTTGTCATTGGAGATTTTAATGATTTGCTATATCAAAATGAGAAGAGAGGGGGAAATCCACATCCAAATAGCCTCCTACGTGGCTTTGGGAAAGCTATTGAGGACTGTGGGCTTGCTCAATTGCCTATGAATGGATATCCGTACACTTGGGAAAAGGGGAAGGGGACAGTAAACTGGATGGAGGAGAGGCTCGATAAGGTTCTGGTAACATATGAGTGGCGGGGTATGGTAACAGGGGCCAAGGTGATGAATCTGAGGACTCGAAAATCTGATCATTCGGCTCTCTTCCTGGGAATCCATGAGTCCGTTGGGAGGATTGGGCCTGGTAGGAGGGGGTTCCGTTTTGAGATGGCATGGTTGCATGATGAGGGGTGCAGGAATGTGGTAGAGCAGTTTTGGCAGGAGGGGAGGGGGCAAGGTTTACAGAACTGTATTTAGTACTGCGGGAACCGGTTAACACGATGGGGTGAGGACCGGTATCACAAGTACGGAAAACGAATTAATGAGCTGACAAGAGAACAACAGCGACTGAGGGGGCGTATCGACCCGGCCTCGCTTGCAGAGTTCCAGCGCTTAGAACAGCTGCTAAGCTGCGCCGAAGCTCAGGAGGATGCCTATTAGAGGCAGAGAGCTAAACAACACTGGCTTAAAGAGGCTGATGCTAATACGAAGTTTTTTCACAGGTATGCCTCTCACCGAAAAAAGAAGAATACTATTTCTAGATTGATGAATGATAATGGGGATTGGGTGGAGGGGGAGCCTATGAAAAATGTTATTTTGCAATATTACAATCGTATTTTCTGTTCTAGAACCCCGGGAATTGGGGAGGGGTTTTTTGAGGGGATTGTTCCGCGAGTCACGCAGGCACAGAATGAGTCTTTGCTGCGGCCTTTTGAGTTGGAAGAGGTTAAGAGTGCACTGTTTGCAATGTTCCCGGATAAGGCACCGGGCCCGGATGGAATGAATCCGGGCTTCTACCAGCATTTTTGGGATGTGGTAGGGGGAGATGTGGCGAGCTTTATAATAAATTGTGTTGAATCCTGTGATTTCCCGCCTGGCTTGACTGAAACCGATGTTGTTTTGATCCCTAAGAAAAACACCCCTGAATTTGTGACTGACTTGCGCCCTATAGCTCTCAGTAATGTGGTTTATAGAATTATGGCAAAAATGTTAGCTAACAGAATGAAGCCATTAATGGAGGAAGTAATATCTGAGTCACAAAGTGCCTTTATCCCGGATAGACTGATAACGGATAATATCTTATTAACTGCGGAAGTGGGACATTTTTTGAACAGGAAACACTGTGGAGTGGGGGGATGGAGTGCTCTCAAACTGGACATGGCGAAGGCATATGATCGTGTGGAATGGTCTTTCCTTCGTAAAATGATGCTGGTTTTGGGCTTTCATGGTGGTTGGGTGG